TTGTTGTATACATGTATATATACATATATATATATATAAGTATAAGTATATATGTGCATATGCATGTGTAATTTGCCTTCTTTACAGTAAGCACGAAACGACCTAGCAGCTACTACGGTTTTTCATTTCAGGTTACGTAGATTTTCGGAGCATTATACTAGCATCATTACTGCTCCTTCTATCACCGTCATTTGCTTCTACTACCGTTGTCAGCTTATCCGTATTTCTTTTGAGCAACTGATTGCTTACCCTTAGCCCGAAACGCTAAACTGAAGCTCTTCGGCTTATTACGACTCGATTGGGAATGCCTCTGCAGCCAACTACTGCAGTGTTATGAACACTGTTTGGTGGCTTAGAGCAATTTTTCGATGTTCGGGGAAGTCCTTTTGGCCCGGTCATGACGAAAACGGGCGCCGGAAGGTTGTCTTTTCGCGCTGCGCGGCCCAAGCCGGGCCCCCAACACATCCGCCCGAGCAGCCGAGAACAAGCCCGGCGATGATCTGCACCGCGGAATGAACTCCTGCACAGGGCTTTTGGGACTCGAGGGGGTCGTCGAGACACACGCTGTCTGCCGAGCGTCGAAGTCAAAAGGGCCCTGAAAAAGCTGAAATTGCAACAGCAAGAAGCGAGAACAGCTCCTAGGTGGTGGCGGGAATAGGCCACGAGCAGCGCCCATGCAGCCATCAGAACGACTGCCAGAGCCTTCACAACATGTCGCCATACCACGATGTTTAGACCAATGTACGCCTACAAGAGACATGTTGACACATGGTCATAAAATCTTCTACAGTTTGTCAGCATCAGCTAGATCTGTCGTCATACGGACACTGCCCTTCATGTGTGCCCGCCTTCAGCGGCAGCCAGCATCGAGCCCTCAGGCATACCCACCTTGCAAAATACACCACATCAGGTCGACAACCAGTAAAACATAAAAGCTATAGCCCATTTGTAGGCCCTGTACTCAACTGGGTTCGCTGTGTTTCTCCTCCGTAATCTCAGAGCTGAATGCTTCATCCTGAGGGCAGGGCAGCGACAAATGGGCGACCAGAAAAGCACAGAACGCGGCGTGCTCGCCTTACAACGGTGACCCAGAGTCATGGTACGCCATCGGACCGACAAAAGCCAACGTGGTACCCATGCTTGTCGAATTTACCTCTGGGGTTCTTATTCCCTCATGGGAATGCTGAAAAGCCCTGATAGACTGATAGCTTCAGATGCCAAAGCCCCGCAAGCATCCGCAAGCTACTTCTCTTCAAGGCAGCTGGGTGATCGGCTAGGCATTCCCGGCCTCGGCTCGATGTCTTTCATGCGCGGTTTGAGGGACGGACATAGACTGTTGCCGGAAGTCGGAAGGGCACTTCGTGGCATCTGGGAACACCAGCTACTTGAACTGTAATAGAGAGGCCTCTGCTGCTTGTCGACTGCGACGCTGAACAAATTTGACCTGGTGGATTATATTATATCATATCCGTGAATGAGCTGGCTGCCTCCCTCAACCGACGTCCTCCCTCCTGAGCTAAGTGGAGTGCCCTTCACGATAGCTTCCCTCTGGTCGAGGCCTCGGCACAGGCCCGCGCATAGCTGACATTGATGGAGGTGCACGGGTTCACAGAGTCAACACTAGTCACTAGTAGCAACCATGGTATCCCGAGAGAGCACACAAACAACACTCCTCAAACGGGTCACAGCAAGAAATATTGTTCTCAAGTTCATGCCCTACTTGTCGGTGCGACGACGACTCCGACTTACCGCCGCCGCAATCACCCGGACGACGACTGATGCTACTGCTACTGCAGCGGCTCTTGCTGCTTCTACTACTTCTACAACTGCTAGTACTTCTAATTTCTACGACTTGCACCACGACGACGACTACTCTACCGCTACGACGACGACTACTACAGTTTCAGCACCACTTGTGGTACGACCCAGCAACAGCGCCGAGGCGTCGGCCACTGGGGCTCCTGGCTGGTTCAGGAGCTCCTTGAGAACTATGCAGAAGCCATCTGTGAGCAGTACACCCAGAAGGCCCCACCTCTGGACTTGAGGCTTTGGGGCTGCTGGGCCTGGGAATCAGCTCAAGGCCTCAGGGTTAAGTGGCGTAGCCAGATTGCTGCCTTGCTTCGGCTTCTTATGGCGGTCAAAATTAAGAGGGCAAAAACACAAGAATGTGCTATGCACGAAGATGACGGACCTACGCAGGGTCTGTCTGTATTGTGGGCTACTCGCTGCCGTGGCACGAGTTCCTTTGAATCTGGACACCGGCGAAACGAGCTAGTAGGAATTGACGAAAGCCACAGCTTACGCTTCTCCCTGGGTGGAATAGTGGAACGCTAACTAGGAACATATATGGAACGTCTCTTGAACTCTGAGGTGCACGACAGCGAACTCTGCAAGGGATGAGTCGGATAAGGTTTCGTCACAACATGACGGGCTTTCCGTTTTCAGAGTTTGCCCCACCGTCTTTATCCAACTGCTTGCGGCTTGACCACTGCGCTACCAAGTTGGGCCCAGAGAGATGCCCGGATGTCGCTAGACGCCAAGACTGGAGACCCAAGAGACTAGAGAAATGCAATCAGCACAGGACCAAAGGGACAGGGAGATCAAAGACAAACCAGTTAAGCGAAGACTGACAAGCCGCAGAAAGTCATCTTTTCACGGCCGTGTTCTGGGGCTCCGAGCGCCCAGGGGAGCTGCTGGGTCGCTACGAAGGCAGCACCCAGACCGAACCTATGTGGTTGGGTGCTCTCACTCTCGCAGCACGTCGAGGCTTCGGATTTGGGGTTCGGGGCCGCTGGCTACCCGGAACCTCGCAAAGAAGTCTTGGCTGGCATCGCATCCTGCTATTGGTCTCACCGGGTTGGCTAAACGAACCCAGGAATTCGGGAATCCAGTGATGCTCAGCGAAAAGGGTTCTTGGAAGTTTCTGGCAGAGGTGTCGTGGAGCACGGAGATAGAAGCCACGATGAGCACGATCCAAAAGCAGTGACTCAGATCCTGAAGCAGCGCAGGTGAAGCAGGAGGTTGCCATAGCCTTTGTCGCAGACTCGTACAGGCACTTTACACTCGTACAAGTCCTTTACTCTAAGGGTTTTTGGTTTTCGCAAAAACACTTTTATTGATGATCTGCCTCTGAAGGTGTAGCGGAAGTTGAACATTGATCTCTGAGTCACTTGCGCAACTAGCATCGGGGACAACGTTGCGATCGACATGAGCTTGCCCAGCGGGTCGCCCTCTTGGTACAGGACCTCGTCGTCTTCTGTTTTGTGCTGCAACACACCAGCTCAACACTCAACACTGCAGATCTCTGTAACCCTTCTGTTTCATCTTCGCACGGCGGTCACATGCCAGGGCCCACCACTCTGCTGCGCTCAACGGTGGATAGAGGTGTTCAGACATCTGAGGGCAGAGCATAAGTGAACTTGAACACCTTCCATTCTGGCATCCCGCGAGAACTGCTGGCTTCAGAGCTAAAGGCCCAAAGCTGCACATACATGCAAAGATTTCTTATTACTCCTTGCCCTGAACAGGACCAGTATCCACAAAGGCTGGATCCTTATGTCCAGGTGTGTGTTCAGTTTGTTATCGTGTCGTGGCTATTACCATTGTCCTAGAACGTCGCCACTTCATCGGATCAACTTATCGTTGTATTATTCGACTCTCACGTGGTAAGGACTCCCTACAAATCTGAGCCACATGCTACACACGTATATCTCTGCGAGGTCGCAACCTTTCTGCTCTTTGTCGCACTGTGTCTTGCTTAGCTTGAGGAGCAACAGCTTGACTCCTTGCAATGAATGGTTGAGGCATGAACCCTGACGATTTTTCAGGCTTTATCTTACAAACGGTTCCGTGTCTCGCACGTTCTTCCCGCATACATCATCGAGACCTGAAGTATCGTCTTTCGTTCCAAGATTGGCAGTGAAGCATGAACCCGCTACAGTTTTGTCACAGGTTTCGAGTCTTTCTCCGACTCCAAGCTTTGTGGAGTCTGCCGGGCATTGCATTGTTATGAAGACCTTTCCACCTGCTGCATACATCTTCGCCATACATGTCGCAGCGGCTGCGTGCATGCCCGGCTCTGCAATCCGGCAACCCGGAATGTGTCTTTGTTCCGAGGTTGCCGGGGTCCTCGCCCCACCGTTACGGCGGAAACCATGCTTCACAGGCTCCTTGCATTGACCCCTCTTGCGTGTCATCTCCTTGCTGAGCGATTGTCTTGATGATAAATCATCACCGTCATCCTCACCATCATCAAGGCGACGAGACGGTTCATGACGATGGCGACGAAATTGCTGACCTTTATGTCGTCGTCGCTGGTGACAGCAAAGAACGAATAAAATGGTGGTGGTGGTGTTGGTGGTGGTGGTGGTGGCGGGGGTGGCGGGGGTGGTGGGGGTGGTGTCGGTGGCGGCGGTGGCGGCGGTGGCGCCGATGGTGGTGACGATGTTGATGATGATGATGATGATGATGGTGATGAAATTACGACAATGCTGCTAGTGATGGTCATGGTGATGACGATGGCGATGATAAAGATGGTGATGATGATGCAAGCAGGCAATGCGTCTTGGACGAATGGTGGGGGTGTGGCATGCCTGCAGCCCGCGAAGCAACTTGCTGTACACAGATGCCAGACAGGCACTCTGGCCCTACAAGTTCTCTACAAAACCAGGAGCACCAGCAGCGTTACGGAAGTTTCGGACATTTACTTGGCCAAACTGCCTAAAGAAAAAATCAAGAAGCTGGACATTAAAAAAAACAACGGAACGAGAAGTGACCCGACGTGCCAGTCATATCCGTACTTAAACGGTGCTTACAGTATTTTCGATGGGTCACGCGCCGAACTCTTCTTGCTGCTGGCTGGCCTGCTGATCTTGCTTCTGCTACTCTCAGCATTGTAACTACTTGGTTCTACCACCAGTCTTGGCGACCTGACCGATGTACTCCTGTCGGTGCTCCCTGTTGAAGCTGACACTGCCACCAGGCTGATCCGAGGCCGCCTCTCAGGGCAGGATGACCTGGCCCATGTGGGGTTGAGGCCTCTAAACCCTAAACCCTAAACCCTAAACCCTAAGCCCATGTGGGGTTCAGGCGGTTAGAGTTGCAGCTAGGGCTTGACGGGCTCGAGGTCGTTGGTCTCTTCAAGGGTCAGCTTCTCTGTGGAAACCGGCAGGGCCTTCAGGCTTTATGGTGTAACTCTATTGTCGCTGAGGACACAAGGAAAACTCAGTCTTGTGAAGACGACAACTGGGAGCAACGTGGCCGCGTGGAGGGATGAGGGGTGTCGTTCCTGCAAGTTCGGGGCGTTGAACCTCCAAATGTAGGCCTTGGAGAGTTGAGGGGAAGCTTGTCTGTACGGATCCGGGAAGTAGTCAATCACTAGATCGAAGAAGCAGCTTCCCCACCCCGATCTCGGAAGCATTGTGACTCTTGGCCACATGCGATGTATCAGAAGCATGGAGGGCTCGGTCTTCCCAGGCATTGAGGGACAAACCACACGGTGGCGGCCGCCCGGTGAGGCTGGCGATGCCTTGCAACGACAGGGGTGTCGACAGGGGTGTTGGCATCAGCATTGCTTGCAGATTTTGCTTCAGGATGTTGCATTATGGTGCACGCTGCTCAGACGTGCTGCGGTGTCGGAAGGAAGAACCTGGCATGACATAACAAAAGAAAAGTTATGTTCATCGCCCTGGGGAGCCCTACTGCTTCCAAACGACGCTCACCTCTCCTTAAGTTGGAGTGGACATAAAGCCGTACGACTAAGGAGCAAGATGCCTTGCCAATGCGTAACGGACTTAGCATCTGCCTCCATTTCGGGCTTCCTGTGTCGCGGGAAAGAATAACCGTGGGCAGGGACCGGGGAACACGCAAATCATAACATATCTTGTGTAAGCATCAGGACCTAAGAACCTAAGAACTTCTGAAGGTTTTGTTAGCTCTTGATTCTAGGCCAGGCACATGCTATAGAAGCTCCATGTTGCGTGCGCCTCCCGCAAACGTCGGATGTCTGCCGTTGTCACGACGAGGGTCGTAGACCTCTGACAGGGAGTTGAAGCTAGGAAACTCAGGCCTCAGGATCTGTATATATATAATATAATATAATATATATATATATATATGCATATATACATACATACATACATACATACATACATACATACATACATACATACATACATACATACATACATATCTATCTATGATACCAGATGTCTCATTAACGATGTGTTGAACCAATGTAGAGCTTCGATCCGCTTAAACCTCCAGCCGAAAAGGAATAACAATCGTCACTCTGAGCTTGTGAGCTCTGCGCTTTCAACAATCAAAAAATGTCCTTGCCGGTACTAGGACTCGGACTTCTCGCCACGCCTCACCTGCAAGACAACAGCACAATCATGTATTCTCAATCTTTGACGCAGCATGGGGGAATACTAACCCCCGGAACATACCATCCTTGAGCGAGGGCTGGGACTCCAGAAGCGAGGATGCGAAGCAATCTCTAATGATTCCTTACAGGAGAGTCTGCTCGATTGCACTGGTGGCGATATCACTTGCCGCCGTGTTGTATGGCTCCAAATTTCATTCAGACACTGCCGCTGCTACTTGCCTGCTTACTTGCATACTTCCTTACTGTACCGACTGACAAACCTCCCTCCCTCCTCCTCTCACTACCATTACGACGACGACGACCACGACTGCTGCTGCTGCAGATGCTAATCTCTGAGAGTCATCCCTTCTTCGGTGTGGCCTTGAGCTTCAAACGATTGTCCACAGGCAGCGCTCGGACAGCTAGCTGCACCTGAGGCTTTGGACTGTGATGTTAGAGCTTCAAGAATTGGGTGTTGTGTCAAGCCTAGGGTTTAAATTTCAAATCTCCGGTTTCAGAAGACACCTCACCCAGCCGGAAGACTGAAACTGAACTGGATGAAGCACTATTATGTGGGCTATTCTGTGGTGGACAACGCACGGCTGACTCCGACATCTCTTGCTCGAGAACAAAAGAACTGAAGCTGAAAATTGAGCAAGGGTGCAGGGTTTAGGATCCGAGTAAACCAGAAAGGGCTCCAGACTCGGGACTCGAGTTTTGGCAACATGCTCGCAGACGTGAGCACGTATGTTTCTTGAGAATCCTTTTGCCTTCCCTCGCAGGGAACAGTTGGGGAAAGAACTGATGCTGCCAAAAACCTGAGCCCCCACCTAAACGAAAGCGCACTAAACCGTAAACTCAGAAACCAAGACCGAAAGTACACAAATCTCAGCCCGCAGCCCTAACCTGAAAAAAAGAAGAGCAACAATACCCTGACCCCAACCCACAAATCTCTAAACCCAAACTATAACATATCCTAAGCCCACTGAACCAAAGAGACTCAACACAGGATTCAACAAATGTCTAAACCCTACAAGTCGCATGAATCGAGAAAAAGCGCCCTCCAACCCTCCAAAAACCCTGCGTGCATGGACCCGCCTCGTCGAAATGTCGCACCTTCCGACCGCCGACCTCCAAGATCTGATCACCGACCTGTCGTCGGCTTGGTCTTGCTCTTCCTCCTATGATTATGGTGATACTGATTTACGCTTCATGATTCTGCTTATGATGGTGATAGAGAGACTTAATAACTTTAGACTTCTTGGGTCTAGAGTCTTGGGTTTGAGGTGTTTTCGCCGTCTAAGCCATCCGGATGCTGGGTCTCGAGCTTTGGTTCGGGTACCAGGTTCAGCCGTAAATCCTGGCTCCATCAAGCAGTTACATACCGTGCAGACACCGCCGCAGAACCGGAAGCCTTTATGCCTAACCATGCCTGACCGTCCGACCCTGCAAACTCTTTTGAGAGCCGTCTATCCCGGCCTTCACACCTGCCTCAGCAGCGGGGCTCCCATCCAAGACCACATCCACCACGGCGCACTGGCGAGAGACATGTATACTCGCGGGCCTAAACTAAATGATCATGACAAGGTTCTGACTCCCATATAAGAGAAAGAGCTGCGATCTGCACACACTACAGAACCAATGCTGCAAGCGATACGCACAAATCCCGCCTCGTGGCCGCTGTGGTCTTGCATGGCCCTTGGAAGGCTTGAAAGGAGTGGCCGAAGATTCCGGTTCGCTCTGGTTCCCTGCTTCTGATTGCGGACTATGTCATTGTTGGCAAACCACGACTGCAAAAGTGACGGGAGGATTGAGCATCGTGGGTTCTGCCACGTTGAGCTTGGTGATGCATGCATGTCCTCTCCACAGAAGGTACAGTGATGTCATGCCGGTTCTTGTGACAGCACTCTGCTGTCAGTCAAGGCCGCCGAGATGCATTTTGACCCCAATGTACGAGCGTGGAACCTGCCGACGAAGCTTCTGGATGAAGCAAGCAGCAAGCTAGGGCAGAAGGTGGATCAGTCCCTGTTTCCTAACCGGGATTCCAGGCCTTTTTCCCTGCAAGGAGGCTAGGGAGCGCGGTCCTCACAAGGCGACACCCGAGAAGCTGCACAGAAATCGGGCATGGTTTGCTCCAATTGCCCACAGAGTTTGGGGTGCTGGTTAAGATGGTATCAGCCTGAAGGTGGGAAGCAAATCCAGGGAACCGAAATTTTTGCAATATCTTGAGAATCGGAAAACGAAGTAGATTTACAACCCACCTAGCACTTCCGCTCATTTACTCTCATTCTGTCCGAAAAGGAAACTCTGTCCAAAGCAAGCGCTGCTTTGGTGCCAAAAATAGCAAACAGAGCGGGCAATCGCAATCCTCCTCCTCATCCTCCTCCTCATCATCATGGTACAGCCATCACCATGATCCTCGCGATCTTCATAAGCTAGTTGCAGCATAATTGCAGCATAATCATAATAAGCCACATGTTACGAACACGACCACTCGTGGTCGTCATCAGTCTAGCAATAGTGAGGGCAGGATTTAGTGGTTTTAGATAGTCGTGGGGCGGTAATACTATCAGATATAAGTAGTAGTTGGTGTCGTCGTCCTGGTGGTAGTAGGTGGCAGGTCAGTGATGGTGGTGGTGGTCTTCCATGTGGCACCTGCGCCCTCTTGCCAAAACACGCGCACAGAAAAGCCCAAGCCTGAGAGGAACCGCCCGACAGGCATGCCCCTTCTCAGGCCCCTGCCGGATGGAGTCTGCGGGGATGGCAAAACCAATCCCTTCTCCTATGCTCGCGGGCTGCTGCGGGGCTTCCGAAAGATGCACCAAGCTCCCTAAAGCCCGGTCACGTCCACACCCGCTGACCTTTTCGGATTTCGGCTCTCAAGCTGTCAGGTGCCCAACAATCTGTCGGGCCGAGAGCCCGAATTGTATGGTGTGCGGGGGGAAATGCGGGAGCTTCTGGCTTGGGACGAACAGTGTGACTGCTAGTGGTAAGCTCCAGTCCAATCCTTCAACTGTGCTTGGGCGGCGTGTGTGCTCTGTCTAACTGCGGCCGGGTTGCCAAACAGGGCCCGCATTGAGATCATCCCAATCACCTCGGCCCGACCCGTTGCAAACCTTGCGGGGCCCCGGAAAATACTTGAGAATTGAAACCCAACATGAACTGTTCCTTTTGCATGTCCGAGTCCAAGCGTAAAAGTAAGTCAAACCAAGGCAACTTAAGACCAGTTGCACAACATTCGGAGTTAGTTGGTCAAAGCCGCCTCACCGATCTCGTTCAGCATGGGCCCACCACTGTTCCTGGCTGGGCATGCGGGAGCCTCATAACTCAACGCATCCCTTGCTGTCTCGACCACCCCTCGTTTCCCTCCCACGAGTTGTTCATTCAACACTTGCGCTGTAAACACAGACTTTTTAAGACACATCCTCGGCAATCTGACCACCATTCTCAGTTTCGCTAGTCCGGCTGAGGTTCAACATCTGACCCCCACAGCCTGCACAGCTGTCAAAAACAAATTGAATGTGATTCCCAACTCTTCTGTATCTGGCAGGGGGCACCCTTGGTTGACCGCTGCGTCGGTCTGGATGAGTGGGTGTCTCATCCAGTCGAAACCTTGCAAAGCTTTGCACCGTATACTTTCTGCTTTCTCGTGGACTGTGATTTTTTGCTGTGGAGCTCAAGTCTTCTGCTTCAGGACTTCGCAGGATGGCTTAAAGGTTGATGGGCTTTGGGGTTTCCGTGCTTGTGGGTTTCAGGCCTTTCTTTCAGGTGTTTCGCATTCTGCGTCCGGTCTTGACTGTGACATTCGGGAAAGATTCTTGGCCTTGCAGGGCACTGGCAAAAACTCAACTGCAGGTGATTCTGCAGCGGCTTACTTATAATGTGTGCTCAGCTCCATATTGTGGAGGTGAGCGCAGACCGAACCCGCGCAATCAGGTCCTGCATGCTGCTGAAGAAACGTCAACGACCTTCTAGCTCGAACTTCTTATCCGGAGGACACGGAAACTTCTCCTTCGAAACAGCACTCTCTTGCCTTTGTCTATCTACCGAAACGTTTCTCAATTTAGTTCTTCCTCTCTCTTTCTTTCGCCAGGGCTAAGGTGCAGGGGTTTGACCGCTACACTGCGTGCAGGCTCTCTCTCTCTCTCTCTCC